CTGCATCTACTCACAACCTTGACTTGAAATGCTCTTATTTGTGGTCTGGGTTTTGTGGTTTGTTTCCAGCATGTTTTGACTCTGTGTCAACACATCTGCGATAGTCAAACATCAAACCACATACTTTCCCTTTTTCTGTTCCTGTACCGCTGCCAAATATTTTTGAAAGTATCTAATTAAGTCAACTAAGAAAATTGTCAGTACATCTTTCCCCTCTTCCCATCAGCTTAGCCACATGAGTAACTCCTTGTATGTTTCTTAGAGGAAATAAAAGATGTAACCCCAGTGTGATGCCCAAAGACCACTGACCGTAGATGTCTAGAATGCAAAATTCACTCAGTTGGTTTACACATAAAAGGCTTGGATAATTAGAGGAAAAATATAATTCATCATACGTTTGATAATCAGTCTGATTTGGTCTCCTATCTGCACCAGGGTATTCAAATAACCCCCCTACTATTAGCACCCCACTCTCTCTCACACCAGTAGTCTGTTTTACCCTCTCTTTGTTCCCCTACAACACATTATCATTATTGTAGCTAATTGCATGGTTTGCCTTGAAGTCGTGCTGGAGACTCATGATCTGGGGTTGAAACGTGGACAGGGATCCAGTCTTCTCCACAGCTTGCTTTACACTGCTAATTGCCGTTACCACAGGATAAGGCGTGCTCCTCGCTGTGGCCAGCCGGACGAGGCTGGAACAGGCATGGGGTGGGCTGGGTGGGGGGATACTATCACACAAGGGTGGTAAGACGTGGGAGGGAGAGCCAAGGGTGGCATAACTGAAGTGGGATGGGTAGACCAGATTGGGGAGGGAAAGGATAGCGGTTGGGGGTACGCGTGGGGGGGTGGAACCGGCGTTAGATGTAGGTCAGCGGGAGTGGAGTACCCTAAAGATTACAGTTGGTTAATGCGACCCCTCTCTGACAGGATCTGAGCCCTTACTCCCAGCAGAGGCGGACCCTGGCATTTGGGGAACCCAGCTATTAGTGAGGCTAATAAAGTCCGGGCAGAAAGTTTTGAACCTCCAGTAGTCCAGAGACATTGTCCTGCCACGGTGCAAAGGCTGGATCTTAGTTAATATAGTCCTAAATGACTGAAAATAATCTTTAAATTATTTAAATGTTAATAAGACATTGGAGCTGAAATGTGGTGTAAAACACATCTATAGGCACTGATTTTCATTTTACAATCTCCCCCATTAATTGTGTTTTTATGAGCACATCTTTTTATCATCTTTGTTTATTAAAGAAGTGTAATGTGAGAGATGAGTTCATCTAACTCTGAAAATCTGAGATTTGTGTGAGCTCTGATAGTTTCTTAATTCAGATGGGAATGTTAGTTTTACACCACAGTATCAACTTCCAACTTCAAAATGAGTCACAGCTCCCCAATGGGGTTTTAGAAAAGGAAGTGGAATCACAGACATAACTAGTGACAAAGCCTCCATCACCTCATATAAGATCTCATTCCATCTGTGAGAACTTTGGGTCTACCCTAGAAAAATAATAAATATCCTCCTCTCATGGCTGGCGCTCGTTTTGTTCAAAAGGTGGTTTCAAGACCAAACAAAGGAAATGGTGTCATTAATGATATATATTATGAACTAGGTCCTCTTAGAACAGTTTCCTACAAATGCATGGATAAGGGGTTGATCTCTTTCCTAACAAAGGATCTCTAAAATATGAAGTGAAAAGCTACCCAAGATGAAGCTGGTAAAGAAACAAGCGAGGAAGAGCCTATTTCCACAACACAAACAGATTTCCTGGCCTTTAGCAGTCTCTTACTGGGATACTTTGAGACATATCCATCAAAACACAGCTGTATTCATTCATATTTCATACCTCCTCCTTCTCCCAGTGCTTTAACACTGTTCTTTGATCAAAGGAGAGAAGTCGGATCACAACAGGAAGGTTCCCTGCCAGCCAAGAAGGAGAAGGAAGGCCAATCCACTACTATACTGTATGTGCTACCGTATAGCTTGGTGTACTTCAACTTCAGTCAGAAAAAAAATTTGGATAAAATAAATGAATGCCTTATGAAAAACTAAGAACACTTTCCACAGATGAAATGCTTTTATGTGAATTTCCTCATTATACAGTGAGCTTGATTTCAGGGTTGTGCAGCTCTACTGCAAAATTGTACAAAATACTTTTTGTTATAAACACAAACTCCATCAGTCAGCGTACAGGAAAATTAACATTTTTCTTTGCAGAGTTAGAGATGATTGATTGAAGTCTTTGTTAGATTTAGAGGAATAACAGTTTCTGCAACTTAAGTGATGGAATGGCTAAGAGGCCCACAGCCAGGAGCAAATTCAAAACACACAGCTCAAGAGTGTCACCATGTGGAGACGTGTGGATATGACAAAACAGTAACAGAGCAGCGCTGAGAGCAAACGCTTTACCTGAGAACACAGCTCAAAAACAGCAGTCATATTTTCATTTCTTCTGTGACCCCTTCCTTAGTTTTTTTAAAATGTTTTTTTCCAATTAAATTTCATGTCAACTGTTTTACATTAAGCCTTCAGCTTCCCTCTTCACCTCACCACCAACATATCAATTCCAAGACATAGCACTTCCAAAGACCCTTTTCAGTAAGGCTCTGGGAAAAAAGTGTTTGAAGACCTCCCTGACATTTAGACTCTCTCTGAAGATGACTTTGCCTTCTACTATAGCCTGCGGGAACATAATAAGACCCACACTAAACTTCAATTGATATGCAGTGCCAGATTCCTCCAGGGGAAATTATCATTCCGTTCATAATAAGAGCCACAACAAGCACCTGGAAAATGACTTTATTATACACTCCGCTTCAATAAAAGTTTCCTATGACCCATCGGAAACACACACGGTGCACAGAGCATAATCGTGATGAAATGAAAACCATATTATGCATATGATAGAATGCTTATTTGATGGTAGGCTGTGCAAGGATGCACATCTGCTCGGGTGTGCTTGATTGGCAGGTGTGTTAATGCAGCACTGTAGCCTTGGATGGAGGTGCTCTGAGACCCCTTTTTCCTGAAGTCATTATCCAAATATGTTCTGTTTTTCAAACAAATGAATGGCACAAAAATCAAAAGTATCAAAAATGTATTGCCCTTCATAATGGAATTCCCTCTGAGCAAGGACATGTAACAATGGGCCATTCTCAGCTTCCTGTGCTTTCCCTCTCTATATGCCAATGGATGTGACCTCCACAGCAATAACAATGGGGCATCCAGCAGCATAAGCGCTTGGCTTCTCGCCACAGCCACTACGTGCAGTAAGGTTGCTTTCATCTTTGTTGTTATATTTAAGGATGACATCCTAGCCTGTCGGCCTCTACCATTGTCTTCACCGTGATTATTTTCTACCGTTGTTTAGCCCCAGTTGTGGCTCTTTGATGAAAAGGTCGCCACTCAATTGGAAAACAGTCATTAAAATGCGGTGGGTACTATTCACCAGTGTGCATGGGGGAACCAACTCAACTGAGCTGGTTAATCAAAAGTTAATTATATAATTTTCATGCAGATGAGGGAAACATTCAAATGAATCCCAACTCTACAATCATTACAAAAAATAAATAAAGAAATAATTCTAAAATGCTATAAAATGTTCAGGGACCAGGAGGCTGTAAACAATATGAAGTTTAATTTGAGGTAAACAAAGTGAATATCCACCAGGGGGTCTGGGAAGGAGAAAGTGAGGTTAAATCAAATTTGGAAACATAGATACCAGCAGGTTTTGTTGTCCTGATATACGTGCAATTAGGCAGGTCCTTGATGAGGACACTGGGAGGGAGAAAGTTGCCTTTCACAGCAAATGCTTTGGGATTATTTAAAGGGAATTTATGGGATTTTATGCTTTATCTGTAAACATTAATTATTCTCACACAAGTATACCAAATTGAATTAAAACCATAATTTAGGAAATGTCATAAAAGCATATAATCTTTATGAGGATGTTGCAAACGCACTGAAACCTCCATAAAGATAAGCATAAATCAATTCAAGGAAGTCTCATAGTGACTTTCAGAAGAAAATGCCCTGGACAACATTTTCTTCTGTAACTTTGTCAAAGAATGTAAAGTAGAGTATAGCACTTTTCAAAAAATTAAAAAGTCTTTCCTCATCAAAGGAAATGATTGTGTTATGCAAATTACAACCATGAATATTAAACCAACGATGTGAAGTATCACAAATGAGCAAGCATTGTTCTGGAAGTGCAATGGAATGTGGTTTAATTTCTCTTTAATTCTATGTGCTTTTATAATGTTCACCTTTTCCCAGTTGTGCCAGCGGGTTTGGGTTCACTGGTGTGCATTACAACTGCGCTCTAACAATGCAGGGCCTCCACGGTGTCAGCACAGTTCATGAATCCTTGCCCCTTATGCACCAGGCGATTAGTATGGTGCTCTGTCTGTGGGGCTTTGCCAGAAAATGAGTTCTCTTTAAAACATATGCCCCCTGCTGATTCTTTTCCTTTCCTGATATGAAATTCCAATTTTTATAATGAACACCAATTCCTTTTACGGAGAGCAGGGGGGAGGGAGGGGGAGAGCTTTACACATTTTCTGTTTTGGATGACTGCAGTTATCCTAAATTTGGGGAAAGCTGTTGTGGACATCACAAGGAGACAATATTTAAATGAGTGTCTTTCAGTTTGGAGTCTAATCAACATTCAGGTACGACCACAAAAATCAGCTGGTGTAATTTTCCACATCACATATGCACATGACTGGTGTGGCAGAAAATGAAATTACCAAAACTGTAACAAATTCAATTAAGTCATTGATTTCTAATAAATTGGCTTAATCACCAGCTGTTGTCATGCTAAGATTGTTGTATCACAGGTTTGTCATGCTTGTCGGTCGTGGCTGCTTTACAAAGGCAATTTCATCTGTTTAAAGGCTTTGAAGCAGCATTTTATGCTTAAATGGCATCATTTCAGTTCTAATAACCAGATCTACGAGGTGAGATTACACTTTCTGACAATCTGAATGGACAAGAGATTTGATCAATTGATCAGATTTCCAAAACTTTATTACAATTTGAAATTGATTTAAATGTTACAGACATTCATATAATTGACATCTTTGCAATAAATGTGGCGATTTGTTGAAGTCAGAATCCTGCACTCAGGCGATCCATCAGTGGTGTTGATGATGATGCAAATACAGTCTGTGTTTCTCTTCTTTTTTTGGTAGCTCTTCAATTATTACTGAACCTTTTCTTTCGGTCAAAATGACTGGAATCATCGTTAATCTGAAGAGATTGAAATTACATCTCAGTTGATCTACTGCTTGAATATTTAATCTAACAGATATTTCATTTTTCATTTATATATATATATACACCAAACTAGTCTGAGGAAATTAGTGGTACATCTGCCAACATTCGAAAAGATGAAATTAAGCATTCACATATTCAATCATGCAAAAAGGGAAAAATAAATCATTGAGCGGTTTGTATATTGTCATTGCTGCTTTGAAACACAGTGGCACACAGTGGTGCAATGTACATTAATACTGTACAATTGAAGTAGACATTGGTGATAAATTATGTATAATAAGCACTTACTACATTGTATGGTCTAAATCTCTCTTGGGTTTGGGCACTCGCCTCTTCAGGAAGAGACACCACTCCTCCTGTACCCATCATCTAAGCACAATAAAACAGAGATTTTAGAAGATGAAACCAAATGACATGATGTAAAAAAAAGTATTTGTGCTTCTACATTTGCTTTAAACTTAATGAAGCTGTCCACATAAGAAAATTACTCACCCTGATCGTTGCCTCTAGCTCTCCCACACTTCTCTTGCCACCTGGTAGCCATCCATATGACCAGTGCTGGGACAGGGTGACCTGCACCACCAACGCCAACAACAACACCTGCAACATCACTCTGCTGCTCGCTTCCATTAGAGCTGCAGAGGAAGCCACATTTGTAACAAAAACAATAATGTCACAGTCTCCTCTCTCACAGCTCCATGGCTCACAGACCAGGGGTTATAAAGCATTTCCCAACATTAGTAAACAGGATTTTAGACAGTAATTAATAAGAGGAGTAATTCTAACTAAATGAACATTGAACAAACTTCATTGAGGACCAACTCACCTCTGTATTTGCCTTGTTAGCATGTGGTGCATTAGCTAGAGGGGGATTTTATAGGTGTAGAAGCTGCTGTCAGGATTATAATCCCCTCTCTGCAGGTGTGACACATTTACTGACTAATGGGACACAAAACACTACTAATGGAGCTGGCTAAGTGCTCAGATATTCTGACACCACATGGGGGTTCAAAATGCATAAAATATATATCAAAAACGCCTTTGTGTTTGTATCAAATGCATCTGTGTAGAGGTAGATAAAAAGACAACATTAAAAAGAAATCTGACATTTCTCTCCATCTAGAATTTATTGGAATCAGCTTTTAGCAAACAAATAGTAGTTAAAATCCATACAGATTCAAAAGGCAGAAACATCATTGAAACAAGATGCTTTTGCATTTATGTCACATCATGCGGCAAGGCCTCACTGTTACCCCATTTCTTCTTCCTTCAGCATTACAACTCATGTCAACAATGCAGTAACCTTAACGTAACCTTAATGAGTAATGGCCACATGAATTTATGTACACTAACAAAAACAAAATGATCAGTAATCAGGCATTTATAAACCCATCTTACCCCTCTACAAACTCAGTAGAAAGTTCTTTACCCAAAGTTAAGACTTCCAAATTCCTACAAAGAAGTATGAAGCCTTGCAAAAATATATGCTTTTGACTTTGTAGCAATGTTGGGGTTTCCTTGTTCAAATATGAAACTAAGACTAACTATCATAGTCAAAATATGTCAAAATGCCTGTGGATGCATATTTCATATTTTGGCTGAGCACTGGTTCTTGATATCAATGCTTTTCACTGTTCTAGACGTTTCATCTCAGTTCCAGGGGATGAACAAAGTTTAACTGCATTGCTTATCAACTCTTTCATTAAAACACACACACTTCTGCAGTGTTTTTCTTATCGATTTCTTACACACTTATTTTAAATACTAAAAGTATGTTACATTTGTTTTCCTTATATAACAATTATATAATATTCTGAGAAGTGTTACAAACAATGAATTGACGATCCATACAGGAGACCACCATTCAAAATCAAAACACCTTTAAAAAATGTGTCTATTTTATTAAATTAAACATAAACATCTGGCTTCTCTGTATTAAAATGTTGTCACTTGGTGACAAGTGTTTCAAGATTAGAACTGTCTTTCTAATCAATATGGCACTGCTTTATGCAAACATGCAAGTGTAAAGTTGGCTTATTAATGTGTATCAAAATGTTTTTTAAAACAAAATGTGATGCTTGGCTGCAAAACATTTGTAAGAATGACACATTTGAATTCATGTAATAATAACTTTATTTTCTGCCTGTTCCAATGTGGGCTAATTGCATTTTGCAGCGTCAGGCGCCAATCCACTAAGTAATATTGCCACAGGCAACAAAAGAAAGTTGGTTAAGCTGAATAAAATTGCAACAGGCAGCAGCTGTTAAGTTATTCACAGACAGAAGTGAGGTAATTTGCAGCGTCTAACAGAATTTTATGTTTTTGTTTGATTTAAAAGCAGATCATAAATAGTATTCGCAGGTGTCAGATAGGACATTATTTTAGCAAAAGCATTAATCATTTTTCCCTACTTATCAAAACACACAATTTATTCTTCTCATAGCAATCAAACATGTTGAGTGGGCTACATAAAATACAAGACTAATGTAAACCAAAGGCATTGTGGTTGGTAACAAAATAAAGCAGAAATAAAAGAATAATGCATTTACTGTACAACACAATAGTGATGCATTTCACAAAATTCATCCTACACACACGCGCACACACACACACACTTTATTTATATATATATATATATATATATATATATATATATATAATATATATATATATATATATATATATATATATATATATATATATATATATATATATATATATATATATATATATATATATATATAGTTGGAATATAGTTTTTGAATATTTCCTCTTAAACACGTTATTGACCCTCACAATGTTTGACTTACGCAACATAAAACTTTAATTAAGACTTACTTTTATTTATTTATTTTTTACATCAAGAACCCAACCAGCCGTTAATGTAAACCACTATAATTTCTATATTTTACATTGGAATACTCGAAAATCACGCACTCCTGAAAAAGACAGACTCTCGTGGAGCACAGATGTTTTCAATTATATTACAGTATGTTGCAACATTTTTTTCTATCTGTAAGTGCAAAATGTAAAAAGAGGTTGCTTTAGAAAATAACATTCAGGAAAAAAATGCATATGTTATTTGACAGACATATACAGAACAGTATTTTTCTTTATTTAAAATTGGCGTAGTCTGAGAAGATGTCAACAAAATCCTGAACCACTCTGTAGCAGAAGTCGTACTGCTCCTGGAAGGAAAAGGAAAAGTTTCACTGTGCATATATGTGCAGAAAACCACACAAATGTGAATAAGCTGACAGTTTCTGCACAGCAGGTTTGATATTATCTCATTCTCCACCTACCATAGTCTGAACCATGTGTGGTCTCTGCATGCGTAAACTCTTGACTGTCTGAAAAACATCCAGGAGGCCTTCAGCTTTCACCCTCTCCAGAATGTTACTGAGGGCAATGAAGGTACCGGTCCGACCCGCACCAGCACTGAAACATGAAGGACAAAACTATCAACAACCACATCACATAATGCACACACCGGACGGCCTTCGATAGTGGTGAGATTTGTTGCAGAACTCCAGTTGTGGAAGAACTACAGATATTTTAGAAAAAAAGTCGAACAAGAAATGTGAAATTCTAACTATTCTGACATTCCTCAATGATCATGCTGCAATGAAACTCTTGTAGTCTTAGCAGCACATCCTTTTTCCATTTAAAGGAAAGAAGTTTGCAAGAGAAAAGGTGACCTTTGTGTAATAGTGCTAATAATCATCCTCACTTAAAGAGGGGCTAATCCAAACGCTAACACTAATCAGTTTGGAAGCTCAGTGTTTGACTGAGTCAATGTTTACAATGATGGTGGGATGGAGAGAGAAAGACGGAGGGAGAGACGGGAAGCCAGTGCGAGAGTGATGTGCGATTCGGAAGAGAAGTGTAGAGAGACGTTGGGGATTGCAACGGGTTAGCCCCATTTCCCAGGGGCAGAGAAAAAGCTTTAAAAAGCCCTTCTTAGACAAGTGGTGATGAAGGAATAGAAGAGAGTGATGACACCATTTCCTGTCGTTAGCTCATCTTATCAGATTAATCATAGTGGGAGTCAGAGGAGATTTCACTTTGAGAGGTTTTAATTGACTGTGAATCAGTGGATTGGATCAATCCCACAGGGGCATGCTGCTTTAGAATCACTTCACCTGAAGCTAGGTTCTGATCAAAGCTTTCACAGCTAAGTCTTTATAAGGGATCACATAAGTGGTTTAGGCACAGAACACCAGGTCTACTGAGGCAAAATGTAGAATTTATTGTTGCAGACATTTGCAGGAAAGAAAAATGTATTCGTAAAAATTGAAATTCCTTTAAATATCATTCTAAGAGATTCAGGTGGACAGGTAATAGAAGCACTGTGAAGATTCAAGGGGTTTTGTTATAACCATGAGTAGACAAAGACATTATACCATATATCATTTTCATCTGAAGATGCACATCATGATGCGGAATTGTCAAACTGAAGGTCCTTACCTGCAGTGCACAATTATGGGACGGTTTCCAGACTGCTGCTGCTGCCTCTGCACAGCGGCAATAATGTCAATCATCCCTCTTCCCTCGGCTGGGATTCCGATCTCAGGCCATCCGTGGAAGTGGAAGAGCCGGACATGTTGTGACTGCTTTTCCTGGTGAGATGGAGAGCTTACTCTGTTATTTTCATGTAGCTACAAATTGGTAGATATAATGAAATGTCATGTTAACTTTAAACTGCTTAATCTGTAAAGACAGCACACAGAAATCAGGGAGGAAAATGTGTTAATGGAAAATTCCTATTTGACTGCTTTTAAATCTTATAATAAAACATTACGCACTGGTCTGTAAGTTAGCACCATGTCTTTGAGAGTGAAGGTTTCACACAGCGTGTCTCCAGTTAGCTCCACAGTGTAATCTCCAAATGTTACACTGCCCTCTGATGGCCAATACTGGAAACACTTTTCCTGGTCAGAAAGGTCAGATGGAAATACAATTAGGTTACATTTGACTGATTTATATCCTATTTTGACCTTAAATTCCCAGTGTGCACTGCAAAAACAACATCAACATGATTAAATACATATACTGACTGTCTATAATATATAAATAAGACAATGAAATAACAGTATAAAAAAAGATTGTTTAAATGTGAAACTCCACTCCTCAGCCTGTACTTTTGCAAGAGCACCATACTGTACCTGCTCCCTCTCTTTGAGTTCGGTGAGCATAACGATTGAATGACACCTCCACTCCCACACCATCCTCCAGAAGTCCTCCACTGTGTGAGACAGGGGGCCCTGGGTTGCGATAAAATAGTCCTTCTGCCTGTAGCCCTGGAGGGCAGATCATCCGGTAAACAACACTTTAGAGTGCAGCAAACATAATATTTTGCATTGTTTGTAAAGGAAACAATGAGCTTTATATATACTTCTATGGGAAATCTATACACCAGGTCATGAGGGAGTGCTTACATCAATAAAGGAGGCATTGATGTAGTCAGTGAACTCCTGTCCTCTTTTCACTGAGAGTATTACTCGGTTGAAATCATCTGCAAAAGAAAAAAGGAAAATGAAACTTTCCACAAGTGATTCCTAATAAAAATAAAAGTTTAAGGAGGCTGAAGAGGGGGGGGGGGAATCTAAAACTTTAGCTGTGTTATTAAGGCCAAACCCGCCAGAGCCTATATCAGTTTTCACTGTAAAAATGTCATTGATCACACAGACATGAACTGATTAGCCAGATATCTGTATATGGCATCTATAAAATAACCAGCAGTGTGATACTTTGATGTTACTTGGATTATGATGTATTATGAAAGTGTTTGGGGTATCAGAGCAGTCCTTACACGGAATGATCTGAAGCACACGGTTCTTCTTCATGTTGGCAGGAAGGTTCCCAGTTCTCATGTTCTCCTTCATTATGCGAACGTTGGTCAGCTTCTGAAGGGAAGGAACACGGGTGGATTGACGTAGTTAAAAAGTTTGTTTTAATAAGTGCTGGGTGGTACAATACTGATAAACATGGTGATTTTTAAAAGCTGGGGGTGCTCAGACAGACTTTTCTTTTTAAATGCAAAAACTAAAAACATATATAGTAGGCAAAAACATTTCTTATCAGTAGAGAAGAAGATAAGAAGAAGAAGAAGAGGCCATAGGGAATAATTCTGTTCAGTGTGTAGGGAAGAGTGTAGGACTCTGCAGAAAAAAAATTAGACATTTTCACCAAGCTACAGTGAATTCTGTGTGGCAGATGGTGGTGCCTTATAAAGTTTTAGTTGATTCAAAGCATTGTTATTTATGTTACTACTGCCAGGAGTGGCACCCTGGGCAAGTTTTCCATGAAAATATAGCGATGCAGGGTGCAGGGTGATGGGGACGATTCATTACTGACTGAAATGTTTAAGAGTGAGCTTCTTTCTTCCTACCCTGAACTCCTCCTCCAGGCCCAGCCTGTCGTGGGGAGCCCTGGTGTTGTGAAGCCTCTGCAGATGGCCCTCCAGAGAACACACATCTAGCTCCGTGTCTCCATACAGATAGTACTCCAACAGAGCCTGGTAGATGAAGGAGTACTGCATCTGAGGAGGAAGACAGAGGAAATCAAGGAGACGAAGAGCTAGGAGTAGTTGCTTTAGTTTGCCAAACTATTTCCCAGTATTTTTCGCATCACAGACATGGTTGTTTTCCGTGTCCTTGCTTGTTTATGCCATGACCAGAGCTGTCAGTCCAAGCTACAACAGGTCGGAGAGGGTCACCACTTACATCTGTCTGGATGAGTTGACAGCGCTGTTCTCGTATTCTGCTCACAAAGCCAAAGACATCCACCCTCTGTTCCATGTGCATCATGTCGATCATGCTGTCAATGACAATGAACGTCCCAGTCCTCCCCACCCCGGCACTGTGGAAACACAAACAAGAGGAAGGCACAAGGTCTTCTCTGTAACAAACAACCAAGGGAAGCTAGGAAACAAAATGTGTCAGATAAGAACTTTATACAATCTTGTCTCTATAAGGTACAAATACAACCACAGCAACAGAAGCGTATCATCGTTTTTCTCTCACAATACAGAATAACGGATATGATATAATAATATATAATAATACATAATGATATAAATGTTTTTGCAATCTTGTTATGTATTGCCATAGTATCCCGGTATTCTTAACACAGATGTCAATTGTAGACAGCCCCAAGCATGTGTAAAAGTGCTTCACCTCTGAAGCCCAAACACACTCCTAACAGATTTACAAGGTTCATTTCAGCAGACGGCACCTCTGGGAGCAGAGAGCTGGGATTCCACAGCAGGGTGTTGAAGCCTCTTCAATGGGTCCCATTCAAGAACAACAGTCCCTCTCCCCGAGCACCTGTTGCAGCAGTTGCTACAATCGTCTGCACATTTCTTTGGTGAGGCTTTACACTGATTGGCGAACGAGCATATGCACACACCATATGTACTGATGCTTTTATTCATCTACAATGAGCTTCACTTTAGTTTTCATCCATTGGGCCTACAATGAAGTTAACCTCTAATATTATTAAACATAACATTATCAAAATTTTATTCCATGAAAACAAGTTTTTGTTTTTTCATATTCATCGTTTGTAATGTGATTTCTCCTCCTTAATAATGAATTGAATCAACTCTTACTCAATTTATGTGCCTGTTCTTAGTTGCTGGCTTCCTTCATGCTACACATTTTACCTGCAGTGCACAACAATGGGTCCAGCATATGATGGATTGACAGCCTTGACCTTCTTGAGGAATTTCAGCATGCCGATGGGTGAGAATGGCACTCCGAAGTCTGGCCAGCTGGTGAAGTGGAGCTGGGTGACCAGCCGGGTAGCTCGGGGACCATCACTGCCCTGCTGTGAAGCACAGATACACAAAGTCTATACTTGGGCATTAATAATTATCACTGTGTAGTGTCAGTCAACCGACTGGATCTTTTGTAGGGAGCTAGTCAACTACAAAATGTTACCTACTGGAAAAACCTACTGTCATTTTGCTATTTGTGACAGAATATAATTATTAAACATGTGTACCGGTTTGCCTCTGCCTCACTCTCATATCTCATGAGTGCCCTCTCAAGGGGACGTCATTTCATTCTCATGAACGCTTGGTTGCTCTGTGTTCAGAGAGCTGAATGTTAAAGCACCCGGTCTGTCAGCTTGTACTGCAGCGCTACAGCACAGTCACAGTTTTCACAGAGTCAGAGAGGATATCTGCACTTCTCTGGCTTCAAATGGAGAGAGAACAAAGTGAATTTTGCAAACTGAAGGCTTCGCAGTGTACTGAGATGGCACCCAACCTTGGCAGTCAAAGACACAAGAAATTAAATTCAGTTACGTGTATGTGTATGAACATCTAAGGATGAGTTTTAAAGAAGAGCACATTTGTACAGTGATTACTACATGTTAAATACACCTACAGATTAATAAACGTATGTTGTGTTTATTACATTTGTTCAATATTCTTTAATGTGTTTCCATACTAGTTTTCATTTATTTATTATATTTTGTATCCAATTACTGTTACTGAAATGTTCTAATTTCCCCATGGGGAAGATTTTTTTATACACCATCTTAATGCGGCTTTATTTCCTGCTTAATTTTTAATAAGAATCTAGCTATTATGGTTATAGAATAGCAATTAAAAAGTATATTAAGAACAATAGCGAAAAGGTACACTATTATTTTCCGAACATGAGTATGTCTAAATAAAAAGCAACCTTCACCTTAATCTTTTTGTATCTTTTGGATTTGTGTTTCATTGTTCCTACTGCACAATAATATTTTAATTTAGTTTTAATTAATGTGCTGGGAGGTAGGCCAAGCTCTATGCTGTGCCAAAAGATAAAGCTTAAACATTGCATCCCTTATTAACACCATTAATATTCTGAGATGTAAAGCCACATTTTTTACTTACATATTGAACACAAAATTTTCTAATGGTGTAGTCCACCAGTACCGTGAAGTCCTCCATTGCCACCCTGACATTTCCGTACATCCAGCAGCCTTTTTCTGGCCAATACTGAAAACATTTGTCCTGGTAAGAGAATCACAACAAAAGGTTATTCTTCTTGAAATTGAAGACCCATTTATGTCTATAAAGAACACACAAAAATATTATCATTGTAGCTTGCATATCAAATTGTAGAAAAGTGTATCTGACGTGTGTATTTCACAGTCCAATTCAAAGGCAATCACAGGGACTTTGCGCAACTCTGTCAGTCAATACGAGCTTCACAATGACGTTTCAACTCATTAACTTGATTCTCAGACTAATTATCATGAAGCCTCTTAGGATCTTATCAACAATTATTCCGTCATTGATCCCCAATGCCTCTATTCTGCCCTATCAAACCTGCTGTTGAGCTCTCAATTGATCATCCCTTTGAGGCTAAATTTAATGTGATGCTAAGTAATCTGCTGGGTGACACTCTGTATAGATTCTCAGTTGGGAAAGGGGTCAAATAAATTATGCCCATGACTTTGGGTCATGAGAATACAAAAGCGTCTCCTTAACGGTGCATTGGAGCCATATAGATTATATAAGTTCATTCCATAACACGCCCTACAACACCATAAGACGTACTGTAGCATTACAGGAATGCAGTGGAGAGGGAGAACACTCTCTTAGAGGGTTCGGGCAAAGACAAACCTCCTTCCTTTCCTTCAGATTTGTCAGCATTACTATAGTTGACGTTTTCTGTTCCCAAATCATCCGCCAGAAGTCAGCTACAGTCTCAAGCTTTGGTCCTGAAGCAGAATTAAGAAAAAGATTAAAAAGTGGTGCATGTGGTCATAAACTTACTTCAAATACTAAACCAAGCTAAAAAGTACATTTACCTTGAGCTGCAATGAATTTGCTCTTCTCTTTATAACCCTGTTTTAAAAAAAACAACATAGTACTAATGATAATTGGTCAAAGGCTCAATCATCCGCATTAAAAGCATAAGACTTACATCTATGTAGGATGCATTTATGTAGTCTGAACACAGATGTCCATCAAGATGACTTAACATCACTCTTGAATGATCATCTGTGGAAGAGAGAAGAAAAAAAACACCAACAGCCTGTAAATAAAGTTGGTTCTTATTTTTCATTTCAGCGTACATCACCTTTCCTTATGATTTAGCAATCAATAAAACTCCACATCTAAAGGTTAAATTAATATTGTCTGCTGCAGAATATAGATCCTCACTCACATGGTAAAATGTTTGGGTATCTGTTTTTCTCTCTGTTGTGCTCTCGGCTCGCCTCCTCAAAGGACCCGTGGTGATAGTAACATGGCAGCGACTATAAAAGGAGAACCCAATCCTCATGAGATAAAAATAAATCCACACAATACACAGCCTACTACTCTAACATTTTATTACTATTTTCTGTACTTGTTCTATGCTTTCAGGACAAACATCTTAGTCAGATACAGACTGTGCTGCATAGCCCACACCACACAAACTCGTGCTTACATTGAACTCTTCTCTGAAGAGCTTCCCGTCGTCTGCAGAGCGTATCCGGTACTCCTCCTCCAGTGAGTCCACAGGGATGGGGAAGTACCTCTTGGATGGCGAGGGAGATCTGGGGAGGAGGACCACTGTCTGCTCTCCTGTGTTTAAAGGAATATATGGCGGTCAGACTGCTAATGTTTCCCAAAAGAGAACATTACAGGCTCTCATAGCACCTGCAAAAACAAGCCTGATGGCCATTAAGATTTCCTACTTTTGTGGGTACATGACAGAAATGATTTCTTGAGTCATAAACATGGTGGTGGTGGTGCTGCTGCTACTGCATGAAACTGTCTTTACTCAGAATTTGGCCTTTCAGTTAATTTATTTATTTTTCACTTGAAGTGAAAGTTTATATGGCTCCCTGCGTGCTAGGAAAGCTAAGAGCCTTCCAAAACCTTTGCAGCTACCTTGGACTTCAGATCGTGAAACTTTCCTAGTCTATAAAGAACATGAATCTGCAATTAAAATAAAAACAAAGTAAAAGGTTGCTTTATATTTTCATGCACTGGTGGTTATATTGAGTGCAGCACAATGGTACCTTGTTCCTCCATGAAGCCATTTGGAATCTTTTTATCCACCGAGGTAACTAGAGCTTTCCTGTGGTTTTTGAACCTACAGAAATGACAGAAAGAGAGGTAGAGAAAGCAAAACCGTCAGAGAAGATAAAGGGCAAATATCTGTATTGAAGAAGCAAAAATGAGCTGACCCCGATCTCTAGAGCAGAGCTATTAAGCACATAAGGTAGGCAAACAACAAAACCAATATCAACCATCTGAGAGAGGCAAAGCTGTTCCTCCTCATGTCGTTATCAGGAAGAGGAGATCTGAGCTAGTTGGTCAGTGAATGAGTGTCTGTGGCCTGACCTGACCTAGCTGTTTTTATTTGCTGTCTTACTTGAGGTGCAGCTGTTTACCCATAAGCCGCCGCTCACCGCCTGTTTCCAAACCACCCCCACCCTGATGCCCTGACCCTCATGCTCTCTCACGCTCACACACATGCTAAAAAAGACAGGGAGAGAGGAAAAAAGGCAGAGATTCACTCAAATACAGGCAAATAGTGTAAGTTGTGAATGTGTGTGCTGGTTTATTCACCTCAGACAATAGATTGTCAGCAGGACAACAATGATGAGAAGCAGGGATATGACCAGTGTCGAGGGCAGCACATGGGCACCCTGATGGGTGGGTTTTTCTGGATAGAACACACAGACAGATAAATTAAAAGAACAAAAATTTTTTTTTAAAGGAGTAGTTTGGGAAATACACATATTTGTTTACATGTCATCTGTCCAAAACTACAGCCAGCGGGTATTTAGCTTAGCTTCACTAACAGGAGGAAAGAGCTAGCCTGGATCTGTCAATAGGTCAAAAATCTGTCTACCAGCACCTCCTAAGTGCATTAACACATTAACCGCACATTAGACACCAAATTAAAGTGGGGGGTTGCCAAGAAATAGCGTCTTAATTTGCAAACGTTGAAGGTGCTGTTAGGCAGATTTATCACCTTTGACCAGAGCCAGGCTAGCTGTTTCCACGGTTTCTGATCTTTGTACTAAGCTCAGCTTACTATCTCCTGGCAGTAGCTTGTATCAGTCCTTTCATCTAATTCTTTGCAAGACAGCGAATAAGCGTATTTTCCAAAATATTGAACTAAATATTTAAAGCTAGATGTGGTAACTTTTGCTGAATGATGACCACTGTAGCCACAAGTGACAATTACTGGTTAATGGTATAATGTAGTGTATAAAGCAAGTAGAAAAGAGTCAGAAATTCAGAAAACTGACTCAAGAGTTGCAACATCTGTCTAAAGTTTTCTAACATTAACAACTGTACCATACGGTCGTGGTCATACAAGACCAAGTAAGACTGTGGCAGCAAAATCCCTGAGTATATAAGTGAGGTAAGGTGTGATGTGAGGTGTTTTAATGCTAATAAATTCAACTTTTCATTTGTATGCAGAAAATGTATTCATCTTTCATGCACATTTAGTTAACTTAGTCTTGCTTTAACATCTGATGCATACCACATGCAGCATAATTGTTCTTCTGTCATTGCAACAATTACCTGCAGTTTGGTTCTCATGAGATGAATTATTCACAGCAATAGAGATCCCAACCAGAAACAACACCATTGTCACTGTGGATAAAATAAAATTGAAACAACAGTCACTATAAAACAGTAAAAAAAATTTAACCCTGTTATTATTAAAAATTCCACTAGAAGGCGCCAAATCAATATGAAACGCATCTGCAGGCTGGTGAAGCGTACAGAGGGCATAAAGGAGAGCTTAGCTTTGATGAGGCTTGAGAGTGATGTCTGTCTCTCTGCTAAGCAGTTAAAGTCCTTATGGGAAATCTGCTTGCAGTCTCCTGTCAGGCGGACTTGAAAGAGCAGCAGCATATCAGATAACCTTATATTCAGACATCAAACCAGCAACAAGGCTTTAGCCCACAGGTGACAGTAACCATATCCCCTGTGGACCCTCTGGATTTGACAATGGATTTGATGTCAACGTAGTATTTGTTAGAAGCCATCTAATTTTGCTGTGCTGTCTTTGATGTGCAGCAGTGTGCAGCCTGGCAAAGTATCCTGAATGGTGACAATAAGACACACATTGTTCCTTGATGTGGTAGTGGTTTTTAAATACAGTAGGTCTAATGGCCATTTCTTTTCATGGGAATAGTAATATTGATAAACAGACTTAGAGTGTTATGTGAAAATTAGCATATGTATATAGGTTACACTATTGGCTTTATAAAAAAAAAGACCAGATGGTGTTGTTTGCCTTTTACTGCACCTTCTCCCTTTTTCACACTCCATCACTTTGTCTCGCTCTTTCCCTCCCTCTACAGTGAACCACCATTTTATTATGAAGCACATTCTCACTCTTCCCTTTTACTGCTGGAAGCTATTAGTGATTTATTTGGGGCAGAGCTGCGCAAGTGTCTTTTCCAAAAGGAAAAGGGATATGTCAAGTTCCTCACAGCTACACAAGAATTAAATAGATTCTGACACATTATCCTTGTGTCTTATTATCTCCAAAATGTAGCAGCCAATTTCTCCAAACTCACACATCCATTTCCTCTTTTCTCCCCATCCTCCAAATATGAGGGTAAGAAATCACAGAATAAATTGGGCAAACGGGGCAAATCGGCCTAAATGGCTTTGATGGAATAAATGAGAGAAGCAATAAATGAGTGTCCTAATTTATCCTCTGTTCCAGGTCCCCTTCTCATTATAGAGGCCACAAGACTGGATGGAATAATTCATTGTGTCAATTTAGTTCTTGTAGAAATGGGGCATCTAGGGGCCTAATTTTTGATCTTTGAGATGATTTCTTACATATAACACTAACACTATACTTATAAAGTATTATTGGACAACAAATTACGGGCTCTGTGTTTTACACAATATACAGTCTCTGTCTGCAGTAATACACAGTACAACACTGAGGTTGTTAACATGCATGCACGCATACATTTGCAAACTCAAAGGGTTATAATCAAGGTGGCACCTGCTGAACAAAACTCCTTTTATTTAATGTATGACCGGTCTGATATCTATTTTTCACGGTAATAATCGTTGGACAAACATCAAATTCCCCCTAACACCCATGTAATGTCCCCAAATCATAACTGTGTGCAAAACACGGAACACACACACACACACACACACACACACACACACACACACACACACACTGCCTTTTCTCATTTCATATGTGCATGCCTGCACAGACGTCCCGGAGCCAAAGGCTATGTGTTGCATATGTGCCGCACTCTGTTGGAGATGCCAATTCTCTCCCCAGTGTTAACAAGCTGACAGTGTCGGCACCTGTTCCCCACTCTACACCCACTGGGTAAGTCACATTCACTCACACAGACCCATCCTACAGCTCTATGCTGCAAGGCATGCTGTGCGTATGGGTCGCTGCACAGGCCACTGCATATCCGTCATCCCCTGGCAGCTACAGTATATACAGTGTACAGCCAGGAAACTAAGGAGCAGAAATGAAATGTAAAAATGTGTCAAATGCACTCTTTAGGTGAATCGATTACATGAAAAAAAGATAACTCAGATCTTGAATGTTTTCATGTATCACTGAAGAGAATAAGAAGAAGTGCTAAAAAGAAATATCTAATTTTGTCCTACACAGTGTATACTGCAGTGTGGCCGTCTGACCAACAGAGGGAACTGATTACACAACTTAAGAGTATGCTAATAAAAATTTATTGACATGTGACAAATGAATATTACTATCATAAATGAATCAAAATCAAAAGTAAAGCAGCAATCCCTCACATTTAGGAAGATTAAACCAGCAATGTTTCACATTTTTGCTTTAAGAAAATAACTAAAACAATTAATTGACTATCAAAATATTTGTCGATTAATTTTCTTGCCTGATGGAGATCGTAGCAAAATCTGGTTGGTTTAACTCAAGAGTGGACACCCATAGTGAGGTGATTAGAGAAGCGAGGAAGATAGACAGTGAATGAGAGACAGTCAGAGTGAGAGTGAGAGTGAGTGAGTGAGAGACAGAGAGCGAGAGAGTTGTGAATAAATTGTAAAGAGTTTTCCTGGTGGAACTTCCACTGAGCTTCATTAGACATTTTTTGCATGAGAGAACAGGACACTGTACTGCAACTAGTACAGTGTGGTCAACTTTATAACTTTTTAGTTTGTTTACTGTACAATATGGAGTGTGAACGCAATTATTTTAAGTCTCTTTATATGAATGTGTCCGCCAAATGAGTATAATATCTATATATTTTGAAATTATAAACTACATAGTTCACTTCTTTTTCAGAACAAAAGGTAATAAATGTTTTGTGTTGCTTTATATCTTCAGTTCAGCCTTAGATGGCTTAAAGTTGTTACAGTTTGTTTTAACTAAAAAATCATAGCGAATCTGACAAAACTATTGTCTCTTATAAAAATGTTGATTTGTTATTTTTTTGGTCATATATTTCATTTTTTGAAAAATCTACATTGACCTTCATAAAATTTGTCATGACTCATTATGACACGTTATACATTATGGTTCATGTCACTTACTATACACTATACTATATTTATATGTCTTAATTAGCATATGACATCGTCTGACCCTAATATAAAAAGTATTTGCTAGAGAGACCCATTTTAAACATGAATAAAAATACAGAAACATGTGTTGGTATAATTGGCATTGCCATTGCCCCCAGCTATTGCATCATTCTTTCCAGACCCCGTCTGTTTAATGAAAAACGTGATGACTCCAACCTCCAGCATCTGCTTGACATAAATGTTCCCAGGGAATTAAATCAAAAAGCATCACTTGAGTTGGGAGTGCAAAATCAAACTATCCCATCCATGCATGCTAACGTTCAGAATGTATCACATGATGGTTGAATCTTGAGGGTAATGTTAATATTTATTTAATATGTATTATTCAACAATTATCTGTTTTGCTCTTGTGCGTGTAAATAGAGACAAGATGAAATTCAAAAATATAATATATACTGTACTCTCAACCCTGAAATGAATCTGTTCTGCATGACTTTAACGTCTCCCTCGCTCTCACGCAAAAACCTGAAAACGAGACTTGAAGAAAATAGACATCAGAAATAGAAACACCAACCACAGAAATTGTTCTCTTTTCCTCGTGCCAGACCTGCAGCCGGTTCACTCGTCTTTATCATTAATTCAAACCAAACTGTGCAGGGGAAGGTGATGTATTATCCATATTCCAGCCAGACATAAAAAGGTGACTAACCCAGGTGAGAGGTGTTCCTTGTGCTGTTCTGAAAATTACTGTTCTTACAGATTCAACCTCACAGATGTGACCAGAAGACTGACATTCCTTTGCGATAACCCAAAAAACAGATGTAGATAATTAACTGTATTCTGTCATAAACACATTCAACCTTAACTCTGTGCTCTTTAGTACAATTTCTTAAGAGATTAAGCACTGAATTTGGAAAAAGCATACTGAAACCTTTATTGTAGACAATGGACAAAGACACTGGTGGTCTGAAGATGCAAGAAGCTTCAGGAGAACTCACACTTTACGGTCTTATTTGAAGCACATCATGTAAGGTTAGGATTAATTAATTGTACTACTCATACAGAGTCCCTTCTTCTGTGTGTCTAGCCTGCCACCGCATTTCCGCTTTATGTCCTTTTAGTATATGTGTGGTCACAGTGCACTGGTTTTATACAACACAATAAATTGCAGCCCTGTATTTGTGGGCACTCTATTTCAGCTTCACAGCCAGGGACCTCAACAGCTGGCTCAGCAATGCCTCTCTTCATGTTGTTCCAAAAAGCATATGGACAAAACATGGAAAACGCAATAATGAAATGTTTACACCTTTTCAAAGGCGCTGCAATGAGGTGCCAGTGGGACCCAGCCGGCAATTATTATGGTGATTTTTATAGGTAGTCTTCAAATCTTTACATTAGAGTTTGTTGGGGTTTTTTTTCAAAAAAGTGAACACACTGCCAACCACTCATGTTTTACATTAGCACTTGGTGCTATTTAAATGGCACCCACACTAACCCATTCTGTTGCTTTTATGCTATACATGTATGTGCTCTGTTGATGGGTCATTTAATTTAAAAATCAAACTCAACCCTAAATACCTACCTGCTTAAAAAAATTTTTTTACGTTCATAGTATATTCATTATCTACACCTGCTGATCCTGCTTAGGGTTATGGGTGCCTGTATGCACTGAACATGAGTGTGGGTGTACACTGGACAGTTCTCTAATCCATCAATATGGGTTTCATATTGTAAAGTTATGAGTTAATGAAGGGTCTATATAAAGCCACATCTAGCCATAAACAAAGCCAACAGTTGATTGTTATGTCATTTATCTCTATTAATGAATGCTGTTTGACACGGATGTGGGTCAAATTATTTTCTGTACGCTTCCATTTACTACACAAATTAATGTGATGCTAAGCACAGTGCAATAAAACAAGACTAAGAGGCTACAGCCACCGCTGAGGCTATACTTAGGCACAGCAGTGATTTGAGATAAAAGCTTACGTCAGCATGCTAACATGCTCACAATGGCGATGTTAAGCAGGTTTATCGTGTTCCCCATTAATTTAGCATCTGAGCATGCTAACATCTGCTAATTAGCACTAAGCACAAAGTACATCTGGGGCTGATAGGAATGTCATTAATTTTGCAGGTATTTGGTCCAAAGTACTTGACAAATTAATAATGATGGAGCTAGATAAAAAAAAATCAGGGGATCACTAGAGTTGTTACATTTCATCCTGAGGAAATCCATCCAATAATTGAGATGGTGCTAGAGACAAATTCAGCAGATTCGTCCTCTGGGGACCTTGAGCATATGACCAAATTTCACAGCAATCCATCCAATAGTTTTTAATTTTGGTGGTAGACCAACCTACTGACAGACAGACTTACATTGCCATCCTTTACTAACACCTTACCAAATGTTGCACCATTGCCATCACCATACCGCAATCCTACATTACATGTTCATTGATTGAATGTTCACCACAGTAGATAATGGGATATGCAACAGCATCTCTTACCTGACACTGAAATAACCATTGATGTTTGCAAGATAATGCTTATTGAACAATATTTTCAAATCTGGAACAATAGGAGCAACGTTGCTCATTTCTAAACATTGCTGAGACGTAAAAGAATAGGATAGTAATCTGATTTATAACAAAGCTAAATAATGTTGGGGTACTGGGGTATCTCAAACAATAACAAAATATATCAAATTGATAGTTGTATCCAATCTTGTCTCAGTTTCTTCAAAGATCAATATAGCCTCAAAGACAGATCCACATTTTGTGCTTGGCACAGAATAGACGGCATGTCTTGTACACACAAAAAGATAAAATGTTTTTTTCTTGTTTCCAGAGAGAGGAGGAACAAAGGCAGTGCAAAAAAAGAGAAGAAGAATACCAGAAACAGCCACCACTTCCATTGTCAAGTGCCAAGGAAAAGGATGGAATGAGAGCACAAACACATGTCAGTAAAGTGTGGCAGCAGAGAGGAGAGGAAAGATGAGAGAGAGGAGATGAGAAGAGAAGAGAGGGGAGAGGAGTGGAGCTGGTGGAGATACATGTCTAAATTCTGCTATATTTTCAAATGCAGTTTGCAAACTGTATTTCACATATGAGAGACACTTTGCAAAACATCACATTGCAACACTTCCTACCAAAAAGACATAACACTGGTTATGCTACTGTATCTTTATCTCATCTTCTCAATCCTGTTTACATGTCTCCGATCACTGTCTGCTGCATAGTTAAAGTCAAAAGAATCCCTCTGGATAAATTATTTGAAATCCTATCAGTCTAATATAGAAAGTAGATACTGTAATTATTACTGGACTCCTTCCCATTAATGGATTGAATTTAAAGTGATTTCCCCAACATAACTGACTGGTCTGTGATCAGAGGTATGAATAAAAGACTTACACGTCCAAGCAAGCCAGTGTGATCTGGTATCAGCTGACCCTTCAGTCCATAGCAGCCATGTGGTCCCAGTTCCTTTCCTGGATGAACTTATCGGGGTTTTCTACCCTCAGTCTTTTTCCTACTCACATCCTCTCTGGGACATCAATAACCTGGAAAGCTGTAAAATTAAGAAAAAGACAATAGTTAAAATGTATAAAAGTTCAATAAAACCCAAAAGCTATTCTACACATTATATTATTAAGCAGTACCAGAGACAGATTTTCTGTAACTCACTGAGGCTGACTCAAAGAAAGAAATACCCCTGAAGTGCATGAATAAACAACAAAAGAGAACTGGAATGAGTGGGAGTTTGCATCTGTGCACAGTATGTCTGAGAGAATGACGATGCACTTAATTTAATCAGATGGGTGAGCGTGTGTGAATGTGCAACCATTTGTACTGTACATGCCCAATGTTTGTGTGCTGTTTAGTGCTCTCCTCTGTAACAACCTCTTTTGCAACTTACAGAAACCACAGTTACAATACAAACAAATGGACAAGCTGTTTATCTCCAACCGTGCAAAACTAATTCTCCCTAAATTAGTCTTCCCGAACAGTGTTTGTGGTACACATGAGGAGTTTTCCCACATTTTCCATTTGTTTCCAACAATATAATTGAAAGAATCACCTTCAAATGTAAAACAGTATTCATAGAATGGCGTTACACCACATGAAATATGTTGGAATTAATTCTTCCCTATTTACACAAAGACTTTATTGTGAAGTTATTCTATCACCTTGCTTGAGTGTGAGACAGAAAGCATGCCCCTTTTGCCCCTCACTCCTACGCTCCCAGAGCCCCACTGCCCACAGGTGTGAGACACAAAGCTATATTGTTAACACTTGGCTGCTGTGACGCAGCTGAGCAGAGAAGAGGTGCATTAGTCACTAGACCCAGCTGAACTAGCCCACTCAGGCTAAGGAAAATGAATGAACAAGGTATGGAAAACACCTCTTTTCCCCCCGTACTGTAGAAGCTGTGCTCAAGTTTTCCAAATGTTGCAAAGTGTTTGGAATTTGAATATAAACATTTTTGCCATTAAAAGCACCCCCTTTAACTTGAGAAATGTAAACCTGGTCATAAGGCTTTAAAAATGCACTCCAATGGTTTAGTGTTGCACTTCCATAAAGTTGGGGGAGAGGTTATAATTTTTCTCCATTGTTAGAAACAAATGCCAGTTTTTGAAAATAGGTGACAGACACACCATAATAGTCCACGGGACAGGCAGGATTTCACTCAAAGTGGAAAACTCTAGTTAACATTCTGAAAAACATGTATGTGTCAGCTTTGTCACTGTAGTCAGGTCATCAATTTACCCACCTACCACAATTTATTTGACTTAACACTGGTACATATCCTTCTTTATTTTTTTATTTAATGGACTTTTATTCATGTTTAATTAAACTATGTTCAGAATAATTTTAAAGGGTACATTCATAGCTTTCATTAAAGTACAGTTGTCAGCCTGTCTGACCAATAACAAAGCAGAATTGAGCTATTCAAAGTCTCAATGACAGACTATTTCCCCACATTTATTCTCCAAATTATGATGTTTTAGCACTGTGACAACTAAGAACATCACAGGCACAAAATTCAAAGATCTTAATAATGACTTGACTGCAAGGATTCAAGAAATATATAATTTACCCATACTTACATACACTTGTGTGGGGTGATTTTGGTCCTTAAATTAGAAGAATGTGTTGAAAAGCTCCACTTTCTATTTTATAGGCTTTGCCTTCAAATGGCCAGTTCAATCCTGCAGGCATCATAAGCAAAATTAAAACTTAACATTACATGTTCTAGCTACGTTTACTGCTCCATAGCTTGTCTGTGATTTACATCACATCATAGATTGAATCCACATTGCACCTAGTATACAAAACAGAAAGGCTCATCTAGATTGCAGCACAGGCCAAGTTATCCTAACTTTACTCCCCAACCATACAACTACCACAACTCAATGGCATATTTTATAGAAAGTCCCTGCCTGGTTAACTCCACACCCAAGCAAAGATTTTTCAAGTGATGTAATTTCAGTTATTTTCTCAGACTTGAGAGAGCTCCTCCTAAACCAAAGATGACATCAAACTGTTTTCACAGGCTGTGTAGCATGACTCTCTGCATTAATAAGTTGACATTGACATGTAAAATGGATGAAGTATTCCATTATGGTAACATGTCTTATACATGGCAACGTGTGGTTCCAATTTCTCTGAAAAACAGAAAAGTGACTCTCCAGTGCACTTATTCTGTATGTGCAACTGATTGTTGTGTACCGCTGATACAAGAAGGTCAAGTTTAAAACATATTCTAAGAAAAAACTGTCACTATATAGCTCATGTGAGCTATGACCTGGCCCACAAACATTAATTTCGTTACTGAATCTGTCAATCAAAGGTGACTCACTAGGCATCAGTAACCATGCAGAAATAGCACTGTTCTCTGGATCTGAACAAATTTCAGCTCCAAAGAGGAACTTTCTGCTAGCTGTTATACTGTGAGTTTAAGAAAGGTTTATCTACCAACAAAGATAAGATAGATAAAATAGGTAACGTCTTACACTGAAGTAATAATACACTTCGAAGAACTAGGCTAGGCATTTTGAAATGGTAATATATTTTGTTAATGTTAAAAAGCCTGATCTAAATGTTAATAGGTATAAAAAAATATATATAAAATATTAAAATTAATATAAGTTATTTACATGATATTTCACTAGTCTATCAGTCTTTTGGGAGATTTTTATGAAACCGTCTTCATCTTTTCACACACAGTATTGTTCCCCTTTCATCTCTGCACATTCAGTCCAAAGAAGCAAAGGAGACATGCTCAAGGCATACAATTACTGCAGGCACAAGCACTTCCTTTCTGTGCCACTCTGGCCATTGACTAAGAGGGGAAACATGCAAGCCATTAAAGTTTTATAGGAGTGCAGTCATCACCCAGCACTCTGTGGTTCAATCATTAATTCATACCCAAACAGACAACATTGAGTATTGTAGCTAAGCATGGCTGTGAAGTGAAGCTATTTCTTGAAATTACACAGTTGAGAATTAAATGTAACTTTTGTTGTGTTTCTTCAACACTCAGACCTTTTTTTTAAAAATGGAATCATGATTTGCATGGTCAAAATATTTTACATTTGTGCCCATATCTGTGCTATTCCCATTCCCAATTAATGAATCTAAAGCTACCTATTCATGCTATTCACATGCTGCCTTCCTGACACATAAATCCAATATTGATGGCTTCTACCCCAGAGCTGCACGTGATTTCCTGAGATGATGAATCTACGGTATCATATATAATGGGGAAAACTACTTCAGAGAGCACAGATGCGTGCAGGAACCTTCATTTTTGGTGCTCTATGTAGAGAGCACGCTGAGACACCATTTTGTCAGTCTGATTGGAAAATGTGATTTTACACATGCAAGTTCAGACTATAGTGAGTGTCTGTATGTTTGCTAATTCGATTCAATCTGCAAGGTTGCCTTGCTGAGAAAACAAGAAGAAAACATGGTGTTGTTGTGTGTTGAGAGCTCTTGTTGTATGTGTAAATATCTGCCACTTTGAGGCTTCATACAACTTCCTACTCAGTGAATCCCGAACCCTAACAGACTGGTCCACTGAGCATGTCAGAGCCTGAGCCTCAAACACCCATGCTTTGAAATAAGTGGCTATTGCCGAGGGAAATAGCAGGGGAAAAATATTTTTATGCCTCCATCAGAGTGTGAGCAGTGTAATCTCCAGCCTCAACTTTGAGGACTCTGAAATAGACACTTCTGGGACACAGTAGAGGTGAAAACATGGACAAGAGATAATAATCATTGCAATTACAGCTTCGCCACTCATTTTACTGTCACTCAACCAAGGGTGACTAGTTTGTCCTTTTTACGAGAATCCGGTAAGTGGGTTAAAAATGTAGGAACTGTGAATCAAGCAAACAGTGCTACAGCAGTCCAATCATGACTGTTACATACTTAAAAATGTAATATTATTAACAATTTTGTGGCTTCGGCCATGTTCAGCTTTGGTTTGCTGTGACTGCATTCTCTGAGTCCTTCACCACAAGTGTTTACTGAAACAGCTCTTTGTGTTACTGTGAGTGCAGTAGCTCTCTTAAAATGAATAGTCAATTTCTTCCCTCTTTATCAGACAGAGTGCAATACGAGCACTTCCTCTTCTCACAGCAAGTTAGACCACAAGTGATGGTTTACTTATGAAACACTGACCTAGCACGGCAAGCAGCTTAACTCCAAGTAGTTGCTGAATATTTATGAAATATGATAATATGATAAACAAGAGGCAGACTTCAGTTGGAGGTTAAATGCAAGCAAGAAACTGTTTTAACTGGGTTGTGATGGTGCAGAGTACGTTTTTTAAATGTATGGCTGTGGTGTATGAGGATTATGAAAGAGCAGAGCATCCCTGGCCTGCATTCAGTTGCATATATAAGGAATACAGTCATTTTCATTCAGCACACTTAATCATCGTCATAATCAAGACGCAGATGCAGAGACAGTCAGAGTGCAGTCCAATCAAGAATAGTTGCAGTTTCATGAGGTTATGAGGTCTCTCTCATTTGGTTGTTTCACTAAACAACTCACACTGGTCAGTGCACATATGCAGACCGCCAAACCTCTTATTTCAAGGACAATCATGGTGACAGACAACAGACAAAGAAGGCAACAGTGACAAAAGTCAGACAAACATGATCAGCAAATGGTAAATAGTAATTACCCAGGAACCTAATGAGAAATATGGCTAAAAGAACATGATTAGCCCACACGACTTACTGTCGCAGCCACGACAAGAGCGGAATCGAGACAACAAAGTTTCAATTTGGATAAAAGATTTGCTTTCCCACACTGTACGAATCCTCTCTCAGGTTGAATATTTCTTAATGAAGCATAAACTCTCCAGAAAAAAACTTAATCTGTGAAAAAAAATCTATAATACATGAAGTGCGCGCAAAACTGATAAGGAGAGGTGTCCCAAAACCTCTCCAGGGCTCTCTAGTGACTGCTTGTTTTGAAATAAGACTTATACAACTTACACACTACATTATACATGCATATATATGGAGCTATGTTCCACCTCCACACTCTCATGCCCAGGTGTTCAACACTAATCTCATACCTGATGACACCAGTGAAGCCCTGAATTAGGTTTTATGACAGTCATCTGATAAAGCCCCTATGGCAACCTCTGAATTATCCTTCCAACAGATAGACATAATTTTAAGCAAAAGAAGTGGATCACCCATCCATGCTCACAATTAATAGCAAATGCTCACATCTAAGCTAAACCAGTTTAAAACAGGCCAGTTTGGTTGCATTTAACATACATAGCATAGCATCATTCTCACCTTTGGATACTGAAAAGTCATTATCAGGAAATTAGTCTTTGTGTTGGCATGTGTCTAAATATAGCTCGTGTATTCCCAGGGTGAAAAAGATGTGGGTTAAGTAGCCTAATATTCAGACCACATTCTGAGGTAATTCTAAATTTAACATCAGCTTTTATTAGGCCGCTTAATCAAGCAGGGAACTCAAAGCTAAATGACTGTGAATGAGGTTATGGTGAATGAGGGACATTCATAATTTCCATCCTTTTCCCATACTGCAAAAATAAGTATCATCTCATTGTCGCATCATTATCATACCAAGATGAGAGGCTGTACTAATCGATTGCAGCTATGAATATGAAAGTGCTTTACATCCTGTCTATTGCTTTTGTGTTCCTATATGGGTCAGTATTTGTCATGTGTATACAAACATGTGGAAATGTGTTGAAGGCATGTGTGTTTGAGGATGTTTAGCCTATTCTATTTTGAAACCAAAAGCTAGATCTGAATATGGCCTTGCATCAAAATAAAATGACACATCGTTACTCTCTCAGGTGATATCAGAAAACAGCCCATATTAAGCTACAGCATCCAGTGTGATGGTTGAGTATGCGGCGTACAGGCCTGCGAACTAGCCCACATGTAGCCTACCCTTGCGTTTTCTGTCTAGATGCTGCATACCCAATTCGCCCCTTCGCCATAAAATCTGAACGGAATATTAATATGAAATCATTATTTTCTCTGACCACTCTTACAATTAATGCAAAAACAAGTACTGTCAGAAGAAAAGAGAAATCACAGGGGGCATCCTGGTGGTCGCAGGGCGTATGGATTTGCTCCACTAACCCATATTTAGTGTAGCCCATGTTGCCTATGTTGAGGAATGGCAGCGTAGACTGAATAGAAAAATGCAAAACCCACGATCTGCATTCGTTTCCCTCTCCCTAGATATTTGTGGTTGCAAAAACATTTTATGCTTTTAGCGAAACGCAGTCTGGTCGAATTGTAAGAGAGATGGCATGGAGCGTAGTGCATTAAAGCTACACTGAGTGCCTGGGTAAATAACCGACAGAAAACAGTCGGTGTTTACGCATAAACACGCAGATGGAGAGGCAGCACGGCTGATCGGTGCTGTTTTTTTTGGCATCTTACCGTGGTACTCTGCGGTGACCTCGCCTCACACGGCGCAGCGGGCTGATGATGTCGGCTTGTCACTTTCCTGCACGGACCCGACGTCTAGATGGCTTTGCTGTTATGTCCTTTGGAGAATAACGCAAAACCCACGAAGTTGTCGAATCATCTGACCGCAGCCGAAGAATTATGCTCCCCTGATGATCATGTTTCCTGCAGATCTCTGAGGATGCGCTTCCCCCTGCCTGCCTGCCTGAGCTTAGCCGTGTTATGGCAGCCAGACTGGAGACTGGAGACCCTCCCCCGGGCGCAAAGCAGTGTATCAGGTGGACACTCAGCATCCCTCACATTCCTGCATCACTGGACGTTAAAGGGCAGGCCTGTGCGTAAAAAAATCAGTTTGTTCTTGTTTTTTCACGGTTGACATTTTAGCATGTGACGTTCAGTATATTAAGAAAGGCGATGATGTAGGCTAACCCTGTGGTGTTGCTTTGGAGGTTTACATTAGGAGTTCACATCGACCTTATAAAACTTTTGTTTTTCCATGTCACACGATGTTGCAAACATGCATATCTGCTGTTTTTTGACAAACAACATCTTTCAATTAGTCTTAGTCGGCTGGGAGATCCGTAGTAGGTCGATTATTTAAATTAATTATTTTTGTAAGATACACGAGGCAGTTCAAAGTACTTTAGGTAAGTACATCACAAAGTGAACCTTTGCAGTAAAGTAAGAAAAGCTGGCCAAAGGTTTTACTACTTTTAGACCATACAGTAAATGTAAGTAGAGCCACCTGCTGGAAATCATGAACCTGTCATGCTGCCTTCATGTGCTCACAGGAAGTTGTAAATAGGATGAGCAAGCAGTAAAATAATGTTGTTATTCTTATGTTGACAATTAAAGGAAACGATGTAAAATGTAATATTAGCCTTAGTTGCAAGTCTGTCATTGTTGGAAGGCATACAAAATATTTATATTATGTTTTTGCTTTGTTAAACTATTTAAAAAATGTTTTATTAAATTACATGCATCATACACAATTTGCATGCATGTCTGCATTCTGCTACTGAATCACAGCTAATGTGTAGATCACATCAGTGTTACCATGAAATACTTGTGCACAGCAAGTGGCATTTGCAATGGGTGACTCATGAGTCAGAAATATGAGCTCCCAAGGAACACTCGAGGGCAGTTGTGTTAAAGCTCCTTTGTTCCCAGGTTGTGCAGCACATTTTAAGTCTGCAGAAGCTGGTGAATATCACAAGGAATACATTTGTTGGCATTGTGTATCACAGTAACTAAATGTGGTAAACAAATGTGCTTTTTACACAGTATATTGGATAATACCCTGTAGCTTTTATTGACTTTCCAGAGACATAAAGACAAATCATTTATTGTACCTGGGGTGTTTCTGCTGACCTCTTGTGGAGGCTACATTGAGTTAATGGAGTGATTGGATCTACGTTTAGGGGGAATTGACTGCTGCCAAATAAATACATTCAAGAGGTAGGACAAATAATTTACAAATTATTATGTAATATTTCTGTAAGATCTGAGTTGAGATATCCATTCATTTGAATGTGTATAAGAATTCTGGTAATACTTTTTACTTTTATTGCCACAGATTATTTCACAAGTTTGATGGAAGTTATGGGACTACGTGGTCATAAAATCAGTAATCTCATGAGGAACTTTATTTTTCTTTATACATTTTGAGTTTTGACTGAATATGATGAAGATTTACTGACAACATCTGAGTCCTGAAAATTAATAAAATGCACAACAGAGTGAATAATATTCTTTAAGCAGGTTTTTCTCAACTGTGTTTCCAGTCTGACTGAATCATAACTGTATACACTGTGCTAGCCATTAGTGGATTGAGCAGTTTGGTAGTTCAATTGTTAAACATTTCAATTATTGAAATTCTAAAATATGATTCAGAGAGAAATATATGGGATTACTTCACAAATGTTTTGCTGTTTTAACTAACCGGTCTCCAAACTATGCAGTGATTTACAGTAAATTGCGAGTCATGATGTAATTATGAGTCATAAATCAGTGATACCACTGATCCTACCAACACATTTCATTGAAAATAAATTCAACTCAAACCCTATTGCATTCATTATAAACATATCTCAATAAGTCTCCGAAGTGCAAATAGCCTCAGACACATTTACATGGATTGAGGCTATTAACAGTAAGGGAGTTTGATTTTTTTTTTTAATGTAGCGCAGGATGGATGCCCATAGGAAAATACAATACATTTAGTTTTGGACAATTGGCACAATCAAAAAGGCCCTTATGAGTTTCAGTTATACAGAGTTAGCAAGAAAATCACTGTTATCAAGTGTAGTCCACGTGACCAGGACAACAGGTATTTAATTCAGATCGCTTTATGTTGTATTTTAAGGGTCTGTCAATATTGTGTGGTTACTGAACATATTATTCTACAAGATAACCTCGCCGACATCACTGTGTCACAGCCAGCAGAAGTTTCTCATATACTGAAGCAATTACCCGCTTGTACTGTCACACGTAATCAAATATTTGCTCTGTAGCTGTGTCTTCATAACATGCAGTATTTCAGGTGATTGGAACAATTCTGCCTCTTTGAAAGTTGCAAACATCAAATATGACTTCTGTTTAACAGCGTACAATTTTTATAGCAGAATTTCTAGTCCATTTATTGCACCATTTCATCTTTGGTTGTTAGTTATCAATTGAAACTCAGCCACGTTCTAGTGTACTGGCATGTTTTCAGTTTCAAAACAGAGTCCAGTCATCTAAACTGTGTTTTAAATCACTTATTAAGTGAACATTCCTAGAACCATGTTTCTGCATATATAAATGCACATACTGTGTTCACTTTTCTTTGCAGCATGTACTACACTGAATTTGTATAGCACCAGTAGCACATACCACATTTCAGCTGGGGGCAGTGTTGCTCTATAAATATTGCAAAAACATGTACTAATGCTGTACACTGTTTAGTGATTCATAAAGGTGTGTGTGTGTGTGTGTGTGTGTGTGTGGGAATGACCCAATCACTTACCTAATTTACCTTATCATATAACTGAATTATTTTAGTTTCACTCCATATTGAAGTCAAAAGAGATCCGGCAGTCATGCTCGGCTCTAATTAACCAAAATGCATTGTGAGTGAATCATGTGGATTGTTCACCCAGCTGAACTTAATTGCTATAGAACAAACACTTAAGCCTGCTTAAAAAGAGAAGATAAATGAACTCTTACATACAGCGTGTTCATAGAGCATCTTTCAGTGCAGCAACAATCAGTGTTTTCTCATTGTTTGATGGTTAAATCAGTGCTTTTTTGCAATCATCAATTCCAATTTGACAAGAGGCATTGATGTGTAAATACTGTACCTGATTGCTTTGGTCCTCAGTGATTCGATAATTATTTTGGTTTTTGGTTTGTTGTTCCCAGATAATACTGAAAATGTCGATTCACAGTGAAAAATCATTGAGGCTTTTAGCGAAGGACATTTTCGTGGATGGGCAATGTGGCACTATGTTGCAGGTGCATTCGCTTCCTCAAGGCTCTGGAGACCTTTAGGGAAGAAAATGTTTTCCACCTGCACTTCTGTCCTGAAAAACAGCCCAATCTGACCTTCATCACTTCACTTGATCACATCTAAGAGAAGGAACTGTGGCATTTAATAAGACAGTTTCTACGTTTTTTTCTGCATGTCTACTACAATACTTTGATTGATTACACTGATTTAATATATACATTTTTTCCACAGAACAGAACAGAAATATATTGTCCGTCACCAATCCAATCCCACACTACATATCTTAAGCTGTGCCCTTGTACTTTAAGCATCCACAGCTTGGGACTAGCGGGTATATTGTTCTGAAATAGGCCATGATGACAAGTTGTTCACTAGTGACCGCTGGCAGTGATATAAATTTTTCTTTCTGTCCTGCCTGTTGGCTCTAATGCCAGACCAAGAGCTGCTGTGAGCTTTATGACAAAATGCTTTATCCCCCATTAACCTTCACAGATTGTGCATCAGGAGGGGATTTCAGGTGGAATAAAGCACTGGTGTCAATAGTTAGGTGTGTCACTGAGCTCAAAGGAGAGACATTAGGCTAGCATGAGGCGCCCTCCGTCCTTCATTTCTCCTCTTTCTTTTGGGGTCATTCCTTAGCTGGGCTCTGACAGCAACCACTGATAAGAAAATGATTAAGTATCATGGATTCAACCACAATCCAATTCATGTTCCTGGTTGCTCTGCAGACTACAAAAAAGCTGTGTCCGCCACTTTTTTTTCTAATCAGGAAGTCCTAACAGCTTTTTGATTTCTCTCCATACAAGCCACAGTAAGTAAAGGCTGCTTTACTTACTGCCTGAAATCAATTTACACTACATTGTGTTTCTGAATGAGCCACATTTTAGAGATTCCAGACATAGTTTATCGTGAATACTGACTCAGAACTCAATGAGACAAATATAGCTGAACTGTATATGTTCAATGTATCTGAAATGCATCAGTCTGAGTTGACATACTGTAAAACACAAAATATATATACTTAGACACACACATACTGTATATACTGTATGTGCAAAGGCAGATTTAGCTCACAGGAATCACCAGTCAGCCGCGAAATTCCACCCGCAATGCATCTGGGCACCCATGAAAATGGAAATGGCAGCGGCTGATCTGTTGATGGGGACCAGTCTGCCTCCTCATCAGGGCTCTTCATTAAAGTCGAGTACTGTCCATTAGACCCCATAATCCTCCTCACCCAGTGCCAAACACGACCTTGAGGTGTAACAGTACACACTGCTTTAACGCCTCCTGAGTTCTCACAGGGGTATAGTAAATGTCAGAGGCACTTTGGTTGCTGGCTTTTGTGGGAGAAAAAGTTGTTCTGAAACAGGATTTAAAGAGTTCTCTTAACTATACAATTCCTCACAGAATCATCAGTCACATTACAGCCAATCATAACCAGTGAATTAACTTATCCTCATGATGCTGTCATTGTGCAGTGTGACTTTTTTCACTGTCTACTACAGAATGTGATCATTCCTTGCTCACCATAGTAGCTGCTTAATTGAGCTGGATGCGTGTCAATGATTTCACTTAGAGGGGATCATCAAGATTCAGACAAGCACCTGGTCTTTTATGTGCCTGTAGAAGGCTGGCAGGAAAAACGATTACCGGCCTCATTTGTTCTCTATAGACAGTTGTGACCTTTCCAATTGGCACATCCTCTTACGAATATGACAGCTTTTCTGTCCCGAAACCAGGAGTGATCTTGCATTTAATATGCACATAAATTGCATTTTCGCCTATTGAGTAGTGTGGAGCGAGAACATACTATACAATCAGTATGGCGGTGCTTTTTAACATTGGATGTGTCAGTTGTCGGTGGACGTTTATGGTGGTCTCATTGTGCTTGCCTTTCAGCGCCATTCTCACAGTTCTACGAAAAAAAGGCTGCTCGTGCACGTGCTGAATTATGGCTTAATTTCCGGGATGGTGACTATATGTAAATGCTCCGTATAGCGCCTTTCTAATTTTTTCGACCACTCAAAGCACTTTTACACTACATCTGCATTCACCATTCACACCCTGAGCCTAAGTGCTCAAACAGAAAATAACATTCACATACATTCATACACTGGTGGAACAGCCACCAGGGGCAATTCAGGGTTCAGTATCTTGCCCAAGGACACTTTGACATGCAGCCTGGAGGAGCAGGGGATTGTAGTGACAGTAAGGGTCATGCAATATTAACACAAGATATAGTAAATAAATTATTTATTAAAATATTTCAAACACAGTGAATAAACTGTGGCCTTTACATCAGCTAAAACAGCTGTAGTGTTATGGGCCGACACGTTAGCCTTTATTTGGCATTATTATGTAATTTGCCATGCAAACAAGATGCTGAAAGACAAAAGTATTAATCTAGAGCTGTCTTAACACTTTGAAACCCAGTAGGAACCACTGGCCTTTAATATTGGCTGTGCCGTTAACACATGCTGTAAGAAGTACAAGATAAAATACACACATACACAGCAAAATGCAGGTTGCACAGTTCATACCAATGAAGTCTCCAGTTTCCCATTGTACAATGGTTAGATTGTATCATGAAATGCATCTCTGCAGAGAGAGGCACAGGGAGTGATTGCCAAAATCACTGTTTACTTGAATGGATTACCTTTCAGTGGAACTGTTAGGATGTGCAATCACCAGGAAATATCAGTGCAGAATGAACTGGCAGGACTATCAAAATAAAAGGCTCAAGTGGATGTTTGATTTGGAACTGGTATCCTCACCAGGAGCCAAAGGTTTTACAGTAAATGCAATTTTTGTACTCGATAAGTGCTGCTTTACTGTGGAGGTCCACTTTTCTCATGTTTATCATAAAAAACATCATGATTGCTTTTAATCCATGTATTTTCTAGTATGTCTGAGTATGTCATCTCAGAATGTCTATAAATTACACTATTTTCCATTTGTTCAGGCCTTTTAAGTTGTGCAAAAGATGGCCATAAATTGGGAAACTGAAAATGGAACTGTGAAAAGAAAAATATTCAAACATAATATTCAGCTTTAATTAAAAATGTACATTTTTTCTAATCCTAATATTTGTCTAGACATGATCAAAGAGGAAAAAACTATGAATGGCAGTGCTATAGCCAGGAAAATGTGGTGTGATGCTGACCTAAGGAGCACACCAGACAACTCGAATTACAAGTATGATGGAAAAGGAAAGACCTCATGAAATGTTCGCTCATTTTAGCATGAC